AAATGCTTTTGTCCCATAGTTGAACGGGGATAGTTCTTTACCTGCTTCAACACGTTGAAGGTGCGTTCACCTGAAGCCACCGATGCAGGCAAACTGACAAAAATACGCAATGCAATTGTGATATTAGGAAACACCCAAGAGAGTCCAAGTTCGAGTATTTCTTGAAGCAATTCCTTTGGCTTGCAATCCAATTTAAAGTTCGTGGAATATATTTGTTTGAGGAAGATGACCTCGTCACTGAGATCTTTTGAGATTTCTTTGTTGTACTGTTGCTGAAATTGTTCAGCTGCAGAAAGTAGATCTTCATTATTCAGTCTGCTGAAATGCCAAAGAAACCGAAGAAGGGTACAAATTAGACTCAGTAACTCAAGTCAATGTGTAAGACCTGATTGAATAAAGTCAATGATAACAAGGAAGACATTGACCCTATAAAGCTGCTTGGCATCAGATTCAGTAGGTAAGTTGTGATTGGTGGACAACTCAGATGAAATGCCAATATTCTGTGTTACTAATTTGGACTCAGTCAGGATTGCATCCCATTGTTCATGAATCTGCTGAATGTCACTGATAAGTCTTATCAGTGTTCAATGTTATCCCTCTCAACATCAAGTGTAGCATTGTGTGCTTCAATTACCAGATTAGTTTGGTGGATCATTATAAGTAACTTCCATCCACAAAGATGACATCAGAATGTATTCAAATTTGGACATGTGCTTCTGAATAGACTGAAGTTCAGTTCAAGCCTGTGCAGTGAGATTGAGATTCAAGCTCATTTAAAGCCTTTCTCGCTAAATTCAAATGCTGCACAACTGGTTGAACACCATCAATCCGTGCAGACCATCTAGTTTTGGACATCCCATGCAGTGAAACAGGAAGATATTGCTTCAGAATTTCCCACCTTTGTGGACTGCTACTGAAGAGACTGTACATTTGTTGAACAGTTCCAAAGTAATTGCCTCCTTGCATGATTCAGCACAGTCAACACCTACAAGGTTTAGCATGTGGTTTCCACAGCTGGCGAAAATACAGTTTGAATTATGCTCAAGCAGAACTACTTGTACACCTTTAAAAAAACAACAAGGAGTTAGTTAAAGACTAACAGATTTATTTGGGCATAAGCTTTCATGGGTAAAAACCTTACTTCTTCAGATGCATAGAGTGAAAGTTACAGATGCAGACATTATATACTGACACATGGAGAGCAGGGAGTTACTTTGCAAGTGGAGAACTAGTGTTGACAGGGCCAATTCAATCAGGGTGGATGTAGTCCACTCCCAATACACCTTTTTACACCTTTGTACTTCCCAGCCATATTAGATCCATTGTCATAGGCTTAACCAATGTAGACTTGAAAATCTAACTTAAAACCTTCTAGAATTGCTAGTACTCAAGCAGCAATTTCTTTTCCAGTTTTTCTTGTGAAATTATCAAACAAAATAAACCTTTCTTCAACTGAAAATTTTGAGCTGTCTACAATCTTAACATACCGAATAACTATAGTAGTCTGTTCCTTGTGAGAACAATCTGGAGTGGCATCAACAATGCTTGAAAAATACTTGGCATTTTGACAGGGCCGGCTCCAGGGTTTTTGCAGCCCCAAGTGGCGGGGGAAAAAAAAAAAAGCCGCAATCGGCTCCACCGCACCGCTTTCTTCTTCAGCAGCAATTCGGTGGCAGGTCCTTCCCTCTGAGAGGGACCGAAGGACCCGCCGCCAAATTGCCGCTGAAGAGCCCGACGTGCTGCCCCTTCCCCTTGGCCACCACAAGCACCTGCTTCCTGGGCTGGTGCCTGGAGCCAGCCCTGCATTTTGAATATCATCCAGAAATCTTGTTTGTACGAATGACCAACAGAGCTCAATAAACTCGTTTTGTATGCGCGTGGAGAGATAATGGACTTGCATGCACTTTTGACTCTCTTGTGATTCTCGAACATGTTTAACATGCTCTGATAAAAGTGGGTCATATTTGCTGAGGAGCTCAACTATGCCTAAAAAGTTTCCATTTGCATGATCACCAATACGTTGACTGGAACCAAAGAAAGCCAATACCCACTCAGAAAGAAAAAGTATGATATTCAGGATGTGCTCAAGAAGTTTTTTCCAGTTATTAGTTTCTGTAGAGAGTTCAGTCAAGAGTAAATTCTTGAAGGGCCATAATCCATTTAATGTGGATGTAAGATCTTAACTGCAGTTTCTGCTAAAAACTTTTCATATAGGGCCGGAGTCCACAGCTTGGCCTGGGCCATGGGGGCTGGCTAACAGAGAACAATACATAGCTAAGAGAAAGCTGGGGTAAACAGATAACTGGTGTGTTTCAAGTCAGTGAGCGGAGTCAGCATAACTCCAAATGTAATTGGGCGTCCTTATCATGAGTTATAGACACATGAAACACCGAGAAAGGCCTCACGGTTACTCCCTAATGCAGGGAGGAGATAGTGGTACAATACCCCTCAGATCCCAGACAGAGTTCGGGGAGAGGCCTAATATGATTGACATGAGTTATGACACCCTCCCCTCACAAATGTATGACAATCCTAGCCCACAGAAACGCAAGGGTAAACTTATAAACTATTGTGTACTAATTACTGCTTTTTTGCTTAAATCTCCAGGAATGTACCTGTTGGTCAACTGGGAGAGCTGCTACCTCATTCCTCTGGACCCCAAAATTAGGATTTAACCTATACACTTTAATAGACATAGTTTGAGGGTAATTACCTGTGTGTCAGCAATATGTTAATTTGAGCCTTGGGTGGAGCCATTATATAATCTTTTAGACCATTGGCTTATTGTGCTTATCTTGTCTTGCTGCTAGAACCTATCCAAGGGCTTGGGAAAACCCATCCCCGTTACTTCTCTCCACCCAATGAACACCTATATAATCTATTGTAATTAATTGTTCTGCAGTGTCTCTGAGCCTGATAAGCAAAGTGACACTCCACCAGCGCTGTGCGTAATAAGCTCCTGTGCTTGACTCTATACGGTGTGGATTTATGTTCCTTCAATTCTCAACTGAACTTTTAGCTGATGCTGCCCTACTGGCTGATTTGCATGCAACATAGTTTTCTTTGTGTGACGTTGAACTCTCATATAATGGTATTCAGCCTTTCAACTTCCTCCAACCTCTGTTGATGCTCCATCCTGATTGATCAGAGAGAACTGATGCATT